TTCGACTAGGAAAATAGCCAAAGTTCTTGGCATAGGCAAGAGCATCATGCATCATTACGGTCTGAAGTTGATTGCCGAGACTAGTCGCGATGAGGTGCGACCCACGATGCCCATGACCGACCGCCCACGCTTAATCACAACCCGCCTCCAGCGCGGAATAGTTCGAGCGATTACCAGTGGGGAGGTGAAAAGCAGTGTAGATGCCGCAAAGTTGTTAGAGGAGAAGCACGCTCTGGCTGTAGACTCGAAGACCGTCAGGAACTCGTTACGATCCGCGGGTTTGATCGTTGTGCAGCAGCCCAAGAAACCCAGGCTCTCTGTGAAAAACATACGTGATCGGCTCGATTTCGCGAGGTCGCATGCCGAGTGGACGATGGAGGACTGGAAGCACATGATTTGGTCTGACGAGACTAAGATTAACCGTTTCCGCTCCGACGGACGTGTGTACGCCTGGATTCGCGAGGGCACCAACCTCCAGAGCCATCAAGTCCAACAGACAGTTAAGCATGGGGGTGGATCTGTGATGGTGTGGGGTTGCATGACGTATGAGGGGGCGGGGTTCATGTGCAAGATAGATGGAAGGATGGATGGGCTGCTGTATCGTAGCATCTTCCAAGATGAGCTCTCACAGACCATCGATTTTTTCAAGCTTCCCCCCTCAGAGGTCATTTTCCAGCACGACAATGATCCCAAGCACAAGTCCCGTCTGGTGCAAGACTGGCTCGGGGAACAGGAGTATGCGGTGCTGGAATGGCCCTCGTCCTCCCCAGAACTTAACCCGATAGAGCACCTGTGGGCACACTTGAAAAGGCAGCTGGCGAAGTACGAAAAACCACCTAGTGGAATGCTGGAGCTGTGGGAGAGGGTGCAGGAGGAATGGGACAAGATACCGGTGGAGGTGTGCTCAAACCTCATCGACAGTATGCCGAGGAGGATCAAGGCAGTGATTCGCGCAAAGGGACGCTGGACTAGGTACTAGTTTTTCTTCTTTGTAGTTTGCTGCCTGTCCTCGGTACAAATTGTCCGGATGTGCTCTTATGGTATGCTTAGGTGTTGAAGGACCATGTACTATACTACTCTGGTTTTTGGAGACATGAATGAGTGCTCTAACTGATCTTCTCAACGTGTATGCGCACGATAAATTAAGGCTTAATGTTAACGCCGCTGCACTCATCAAAATGCCCAAAAAGACCAAACATCCGGACAATTGTTTCTGTCACTGTAGCTGGGTCTCTGAATCTGAGATGGGTAACGCTCGTCGTCCTCTTTGCGCCTACCACTCAGCTTTGAGGGGGGGAAGTGTGGGAGTACAACCCCATTACACTTCTTTCTCATTTTCACATTTTTCTTCTATCACGTTCTCTTTTTTCTCCTTATTCATTTGGTCCTTATCTCATCTCATTTGGATTCCTATTCCTAATTTTCCATTATCCTTTGGTTTATCCTATTATTATAGTTATATCACCGTCCAGGCTCGGGATGTACTGGCGCTCTATATCTAGCGTAATCATGCCGTAATCCCTTAAAACCAATAGCCTCGCGTGGCTATATGCAGGATGATTCCATTTCTAGAAGGGTTTATTCCCTTTGGATGGGATAAACTTGGTTACAAGATGCACCTTGGAAGTATAAAAGCGCCCTGTATCAATCGATAGTGCAACTTTTCGTCGACACATTTGATCCTGTAAGACAGTGGCTAGACTAGTAATGCCGCCCTGGATTGCTCTTGTTTATTTTGTACTCTTGCTGACTGGTCTACAGACCCTTGCCTCAGAGGTTGGACTAGTAGTGCCACCTTGAGCTGCGTGTCTCGTACTAGTTGCTGCCCCTTGTCTAGCCTAGGGGGTATGTCAACATATAATTTGTATATGTTATAGGCTAGCTAGGTGCATGCCCATATAGAGTACGACCCCTAAGGTTATATTCCCTTGTACCACCTCATTCTAGTCACTTGTTCTACGCTAAGATAGCCCATGTGTCAAAGAGTCAATGGGAGCATACACATATCGTAGAGGGTTTGCACCAAGCGCCCATCAGCCTTACGATGAATTCGAGGCCTTGTCTCACCACTGACTCCTAAATAAAGCCACACGTGATAATTCACATCTCAGAAGCATATTATGCGCTCAATCGCAATCATCTCTGTTCCAAATCATATAGTTGCACCTCGTACCAGATAATTCCCAACGCAATCAGATTTCATATTTGCTGGTAAACCCCATATCTCACAAGTTGAGGCTTGCGCCAGCAAGGTACCTGCATCACATGGTACTCGTGCTACCTACTCATTTCTATGCTTTGGCACAGGCTCGTTTGGCGCCCCATGCCGATCATTCAACTAATACTCAATTGTCGCACTTCCACTCATTCTTTGAACTTGCCAAGCCCTTGGCAAAAGTGTTGCCATAATTTCACTCCTCTCGTACATTGCATCATTGTCCGTATATGAATTGTCAGCAGTGTTTGCCTTGCCGTGGCACATGAAATCTGATTGTGTATGGTATTTTGATAGCACCCCTAAACCCTCTCATGCCATAAAATGAAGCACGTTGACATTGCTACAACGAAAGCAAGCTTTCTCAATACAGGAGAATATGGAGAGTCTAATTGATTATGCACTTCCAAGGGTACATTCCCTCTTACGACTCGACAAGAGCGACTCGGGTAACATCTCAACATATATTTGTATATGTTTATAGGCTAGCTAGGTGCATGCCCATAGAGAGTACAACACCTAGCACAAAACTACCTTGTACCGTCTTTTCTAGTCGTTTCGCTACTCTGAGATAACCACCCGTGCTGTAATACCGGGACGGTTATTTGTCCTTGCTGTCGCGCTGACTTGAGTTTTGTTCTTCTAACTGTTGGGTTGCACGGTCAACATTCTGTGACCGTTTCCCCTCTGCGAGATGTCGCCAACCTGCATTAACCGTCGGCAGTACTGTAGGAGGGTTTGACTCGTAGTTCCCCGATGTTGTGGTCTTTGCATATTGTTACAGCACGCGAGACTTCTGAAATGTGCTTAGGTCCTTTTATCATTTCAAACAGCATTGTCACACCTACCTAGTGTGGCGTGGCACGTGCGTGTCTCTTCTGGGGGCAAGAGTACTGGAACCAGGCCCTCAGATTTCAGGCAAATTCCCCTGATTCAGGGTTTTTTCGTAGGTTTTTTTTTTACCAACCCTGATGTGCTAGGATTTTTTTTTTACACAACCCTGAAATTTCATGTTTTTTTCATAGCTGAACTCTGTTTGTACAGCGTTGCTTTTGTAGTGGACCCTGTAGCATCTGTAACAGCGTGATTGCCCTGCCATAATAACCGCATGTTTCCCCTGCTCGATGTGTGATGGGGGGATGTGTGAGGGGGCTCAGGTTTGAAGGGTAATTACCCGGAATAAAAAAACATTATGAGTAACTTTGGGCTGGATTCCAGAATTTGAACGGGTAATGTTTCCCTAGAACCCGGAATTTATACAAGTGGGCGAGGGGTGCTCTCCGGACGAATCAGAATTGCCCTGGGAAGCATTCCAGATGACCCCGCCAAAGGGACAACCCCCCTCTCCCCCCCCCCCCCCCCCCCCCCCCCCTCCGCCCCCTGAATTCTATGTATTCCCCCTTGGGCTAAAAAATCTAAGTCCTTAACAGACAGAGACATTCCTCCCCCTCCTACCCCAACCAGGGAATTTCGACTAAGTCCCTCACAGCCAGAGACATTACTCCCAATCCCCTCGCAACCTCGAAATTTTGGCTAAAGTCCCACACAGCCCTAGACATTCAACAGCCTCGGAAATTCCGGCTAAGTCCCTCACAGCCAAAGACATTCGACCCACACCCCTCGCCACCCAGAAAATTAGACGAATTCCCTCACAGCCCGAGACATCTCTCCCGCACCCTTCTCACTCCCCTAACAGAGCACTGGTGAGAACGGGGTTCGGGAAAATTCTCACTGAGAGAGTTGGCAGAGAAGGTACCCTGCCAAACATGGGCTGGCCTCGACATTTACCCTGTTTCGACCCAAGGCTTCCTAGCCTGTTGGGTGATTCGTAGAAAGTGTCTGGCTCTGTGACACCAAGTCATTGACAGCTAAGGTAAGTACACGTCAGCACATATACTGACGCGTGCTGATCTAGGCTGTCGAATCTCTGACCTAAAGTGATGTGACACTTGCGAGGAAACCTTGGGCAGGCAATCCGAGTAGACCCTACGTGTAACTCGGCCCAAAGTAACATTTCACCCAAATCCGGATGAAACAGAAATCAAGAACCCCCGAATCCGGACGAACAGACCGCGTGGGGGGGGGGGGGGGGGGGGGGGGGGGGGGGGGTTTCCAGGAGAAACAGAGTACTCAAAAAGCTTAGCGAGAGCCCTGTGCTACAACCTTGGATCGATCGGTGAAATTTGATTGGCGGAGGCTTCCTGCAAAAATTGACGGCCTCAGCAACATCATGATTCCCGCGGGAATCTTCCCTCCCTCGTTCCCCCCACACCACCCCCCCCCACTCTGTCCCGTCCCTGCCCTTCCCCAGTTCCGTTCTGCCCATCTCCCAATTTCGTAAAATCAGCATGATATTCTGAAGTAACCCTGATTACTCAGCGGTTTTTTTTTTGGGAGCCCTGAAAAATCAGGATAAACATGGGGGGGGGACCCTGATCAATCTGGGTACCTCAAAACCAATCTGAGACCCTGACTGGAACACTACCTGGTGTGCATTGCTGGTTTGAGTGACGTGAAAAGCAAAATCTAGGGTTTCAAACAGGATTGGACCCAAGCCAAAATATAGTGGTTGGTTCGCCCCTATACCAAGCTCTGCTGAACTTGCTCAAAAAAATAAAAATTAAGGCTGAACTCTGGGTGGGTTTCAGCAGGTGTATTCATATTGAAGTAATGCGTCCTTCAACAATTCATTACACGACTTTGGCTGGCAGTACCCTGCATTAGGCACTGCATTTGTATGCATGCATTGAACATGACTTCATACACCTCCAAAAGTTGTTACAAATGCTGGTTTTACATTAAAATACAACATATGACACAAACACATTGGAATTTGAGTGCAATGAGAGTTGTGGTGTGGACCATGCCCATAACCTCGACAAAAGACAAGCTCCTTCTGTTGGGCTGCATTCGCAGCACAGACGAAGCTGAGCCCTTGGGAGTAGAGCCCCCCTGCACCAGCCCCTCTCTCCTGCTGCTGCTGCTGCTGCTGTACCGGCATCTCCAACTACCACGCTCTTGTTGCTCCATCAGTCGTTGCTGCTGCTCTTGTTGCTGTTGCTGCTACTGCTACTGCTGCTGCTGCTGTACCAGCATCCCCAACTGCCATCACGTTTTGGACAGGTCAACAAAGGACGAGCTCTTTCTGGCGGGCCGCATTCGCTGCACCGACGAGGCAGGCCGCTTGGGAGTAGAGCCCCCCTGCACCAGCCGCTCTCTACTGCTGCTGCTCCCGCCGATGCCAATACTGTCGCTGCTGCTAATGCCTCTAGTGCTGCTGGTGCTGCCTCTACTGCTGCTAATGCTGCTGCTGCTGCTGCTGCTGCTGTTGACCCCAAGGGTTATGTCGCCCATCGTAAAGGAAGTGGGAAGGAGCGGAGGAGGGTGAGAGGCGCGGGAGCGATGGGCGAAGGGGGAGAAGAGGAAGAAGCGGGAGGTACGTGGAAGGGTCAGGGACCACGCGCCTGATGGTAGGGGGAAGGAAGCAGAGGAAGGGGGGAAGGAGGGAGGGAGGAAGGGAGGGAGGGAATGTTGGAACTATTGAGGCGCCTCAAAACGGGGGCATGAGGAAGGGTCAGGAACCATGAGTCTGGTGATGGCGGGAGGAGCCTGAGGAAGGGATGAGTTGGGAAGGGATGAGCTGGGAAGGGTTGGCGTAAGAGAGCAGGAGGGGGAGGGGGGGGGGAGGAGGGGAGAGATTGGAGAGGGACATTGACAGGGCGAAGTGAGCAGGCAATTGAGAAAGCGGGCAGAGAGGAGGGGTACAGAAAGGAATGAAGAAGCAAGAAAATAAGGGAGGGAGGAGGGAGGAGCAACTACGAACCTCACTGGAGTAAGGCTTGGAGGGCGACTGCCATGGGGCAGATATTTTCGGACCGAGCAAGGGAGGAGAGAGGGGAAGGAGAAAACGAGAGGGGAACAGAAAAGAGAGGGAGGAAAGAAAGGAGAGGGAGGGGAGGAAAGGAGAGGGAGGGTGGGGGGAGGAGTGGACTACGGATCTCACCAGAATGAGGCTTGGATGGCGACTGCCACAGGACCGGCCTTTTACAGAGTGAAGGAAAAATATGGTGAAGTAGAGGGGAAGCAAAACAGGGGAGACTTTTGAGTAGACTCGAGGTGACTTTTGAGTCGATTCGAGGTGACTTTTGAGTCGACTCGAGGTGACTTTTGAGTCGACTAGAGGTGACTTTTGAGTCGACTCGAGGTGACTTTTGAGTCGACTCGAGGTGACTTTTGAGTTGACTCGAGGTGACTTTTGAGTCGACTCGAGTCGACTCGGGGTGACTTTAGTCACGAAGTAGAGGGGAAGCAAAACAGGGGAGCGAAAAGAGAGAGGGAGGAGCGGACTACGGACCTCACCAGAGCGAGGCTTGGAGGGCGACTGCCAAGAGGCAGAGGGTCTTCTCTGAGCAGAGGGAGTCCAAGGCAGCAGCCTGCGTGCCTGATGCAACCACCTCAAGGCAACCCCTGCAACCACTCCCATGCCCATTCCTGCTGCGTGCCTGCTTCGCCTCCCTCTCCTGTGCGCTGCAGTGAGTGCCAGAGCAACAGAGAAGACAGCGAAAAAGAGGAGGACAAGGCTCGTGCTACTGTCACTGGCCTGTTGTGCACCACTCACACTCGCTCCTGCCACCGCTGCTGCTGCCCTCTCCTCTGCTGCCCGCGTCTCTGCTGCCCGCTCCTTCGCTGCTGCTGGGAGGGCAGTGGAGGTGGAGGAAGCTGCAGGGAAGGTCCCGAGGAAACGGCGATTGGCATGCCTTTTACCCCAGGCTGTTTCATCGTGTTCCTCGCCACTCCACCACCACCAACTCCTCCTAATGCTGCTGCTGCTGCTGCTGCTGCTGCTGCTGCTGCTGCTGCTGCTGCTGCTGCTGCTGCTGCTGCCACCGCTGTTGATTTCACTGCTTGCGCTCGTTGCTTCACCTTCACGTCGCTCCATATCCACACCACCGAGCCCCTCTTCTGCAACCTGCTCCGAGCCTACATCCCCAAGCTTCCAAACCACGTCTCCAGAGCTGTTATTGGCACCACGACCACCACCAGCAGCAGCAGCAGCAGCAGAGGAGGAAGCAAGTGCAGCAACAGCAGGAGCCCCTTCATACAAAGCCGCGCCAAGAGTCCAAGACACCTGCCCAGATGAAGCCCCCCCTAGATCCACCTGCGAGTCCTTTATCCCCAGCCCTTCCCTCAACAGAGTAACCACATAAGCTGCCCGGAAACAGTTCTGCTCGAAACCTTTTATCCCGCCCCACTTTGCCTCGACTTCCAGCCACGGCCTGAAACAGTACGCCTGCCCGCGGGCCAAAATTGCATCCAGGGCAGCTGACGTGTTGCCAGGGGAAATGGGCGCGGCCATCTGCCCGTCGGCGAAAAAATCCAGCTGCCCGGCCTGCCCTGCGGCACCTCTTTGCCTGCCCATAGAACCCCTTAAGGTCTGCCCGAGCCCCTGTGAGGTTGTCTGGGGTTTTGGAAGATCAGATTCCTGCTCCTGCTGCTGTCCCTGCTGCTGCTGCTGGGATTCTGTTGGCAGTTGCTGCTGCTGTTGCTGTTGCTGCAGCGGCTGCAGTTGGAAAACGCCAAAGAAGAGGGACACGACATAGAATCCTGCCAGAGCAGAGAATGGCCCCTTGAATGGCGGCTGGTGGACGCCCAACGCACAGGGAGGGGGGTCCGCTCCTTCCCTTGCCGTACCACACACTGCAGTGGTTGCTGCCGCTGCTGCTGCTGTTGCTGCTCCTGTTCCCCTCACGCCTTTCACCCCTGATGCCACCACATCGCGGGAGAGCGCCATGCATTTTTTCCAGTTGGGCTGCCCGAAGACCTCCACCTTGACCTTTTCAACCGTGGTTTCTTGTCTGCCCGAGATGGTCCGATTGGTGGGATTTTCCCCTGCTGCCCCAGCCACTGCTGCCCCAGCCACTGCTGCCGCTTCCACGTCAGCAGCAGCCAGTTTTCTCCTCGCGGTGTGGATTGTGCTGTATCCTGCATGGAGGCACGGATGGGCGACACGTGTCATCCCACCGTTAGCCGCTTCCATCCCAGTCCCAACCAATAACCTCTCTGTTCCTCTCTCCCCCACACCCCCCACCTCCTCCGCCCTGCTCTGCTCCTCTCCCCCTTCTCCGCCTCTCTCCACCTCCCCTCTCACCACCTCTCTCGCTCCTTCCGCCTGCTCCCCTCTCCCCTCCTCTCTCTGCTTCTCAATCAGCCAAAGCACAGATCGATCAAAGGCGTCGTTCATGCCAAAGCCCTCGTGGGAGTGAGCGTACAGGCTGAACTGCCGCCCACCCAGTGACACGTTGGCTATGTACCGTGCTGGGGTCGAAGTGGCGGCCAATGGGGGTGTGGCACGTGGCATGAAGGTGACTTCCAGGCTGGATCCGCCTAGGTCCAGAGTCCCTATCGTCTCCTCCCCCGTATCGTCTGAAAAGTCATTTCCCTCCTCTCCTCCTGCTCCCCCTGCTCCCCCTGCTCCCCCTGCTACTCTTATGGAGGCTCTCTGATCTGCTGTCTCCGTTGCTCCCTCTACTGCAGCCTTTTCTGTCCCTCTCCATCCTGCTCCTTCAACCTGTTCCCTCGTCCTTCCCTCTCCATCCCTCTCAACCGATTCTTTTTTTAAGATCTCGTCTCCCGTAACCTCCCTCTCCTTTACCCTATCCGTGTCCCTCTCCTCCTCCCTCTCCTCATCCCTCTCCTCCTCCCTCTCCTCCTCCCTCTCCTCCTCCCTCTCCCTCTCCCTTTCCTCATCCGGGCCTTCCCCGTCCTCGCCCACCTCCATTCCTTCCTGCGCTCTTCTTCTCCCCACCGCATCCCCCTGCCCTTCACCCTTTTCCCATCCTTCCACTCTCAATCCCCTTCTCTCCTCTTCGCCTGCTGCATTATCCACCACCTTTGCTAACCCCACTTTCCCCTCAGCACTCCCAACCTTTCCCTTCCTTCTCTCCTCCTCTTCCTCCTCCTCCCTCCGCCGCCTTGCCGCTTCCTCCTCTTCTCCCTCACTCTCTGCCTCTCTCTCAACTTCCCCCACCGCTCCGCTGCCCCTCTCCTGCTCCCCCTCCTGTCCTGTCAACCGTCCCTGCACCTCTTTCCCTTCCTCTCTCTCCTCCTCCGCCTTCCTCTCTCCCTCGACAAGCAATCCCTTTCCGACTCCTTGCAAACCCCCCAGCCCTTTCCCCTGCTCTCTCTCCCCCTCCTCCGCCTTCCCCGTTCCCTCGGCAGGCACCCCTATTCTCACCTCGAGCAAACCCTCCAGCCCCTTTACCTCCCTCTCCGCCTGCTCCGCTTGCTGCTCCCCTTCCCGCCGTGCCTGCTGCAGCAGCTTCCTCTCCGCGTTCCCTGCGCCCTCCTGGAGATGCGAATCCATCCCTTCCACGTCTCCCTGTCCTGCTCTCTCGTCCTGCTTCCCTCCCTCTCTCTCTCCCTCTCCCTCTCCCTCACTCTCTCCCTCACTCTCTCCCTCTCTCTCTCCCTCTCCCTCGCCCTCTCCCTCACCCTGCTCCTGCACCCTCCCCTTCCCCCCTGCAGCACTTCTCAGAGACTCCCCCACTCCCCGCCTCCTCCCCTCCCCCTCTTCCCCTTCCCCTCCACCCTCCCCTTCTTTTCGACTTGACTCCGAGCCAGTCTCCAAACCCTCCCTTTCCTCCCCTCCCCTCTCCCCTCTCCTCTCACCCCTCTCCACTCCTCCAAACCGTCCCTCCACATAATTAAGCGCAATCCACCCATAAACCGCCTCATCCACACCCGAGATAATCCTCGCCCACTCTCTCTTAAACGCAAACCCCGACCCCTCCAACACATCCCTGACCTCCTCCAACACCCACCGAGACTCACTCGCCGGAAGCTTCCTCAATCCGGCTGTAGCGAAGAGAAAGACCGGGGTGGCGGCACGGGCGGCGGGGTCCAGGATGGCTTGCAGCGCCCAGTCGAGGAGCGGGGCGAGGGCGCGTTCGCGCAGGCCGCGGGGGTCGTTTAGGAACTTGTCAAGCCCCGGTTCGGTTTCCTTGCGGTTGTACGCCCGCTTCTGCTGCTGCTGCTGCTGCTGCTGCTGCTGCTGCTGCTGCTGCTGTGTTTGGAAATCTCCTATTCGTCGGCCCTGCTTCTGCTGCTGCTGCTGTTGATTTTGCCGAACATCAAATCTGAACGGTTCTTGCTGAACCTTCTGCTCGTGCTGCCGAATGACGGGAAGAGTCATGAGGCCCATCCCTGAGTTCCCTGCGTTTCCGCTGCCATTGAATTTCTCCCCATATTTGCCGAATTCCGCGAGCCTGGCGCTCTGAATGCTGTGGTCTCTCGATTCGTCTCTCCATGGGGTTCCTCCGTCTTCTGTCCACTCGTACACGTACAAACGCGTGCCCGTGCTTCCCACGTCGATGACGATGCAGTGCTGCTGACGTGGACCCTCGATCCTTCCTCCTCCGCCGTCAGATCTCCGCAAAATCCCCCCCTCCTTCCCCCCTCCCACCTCCTCCCCTCCCTCCTCCTCCTGTCGTCCTTTCGGCTGTAACGAACTGTGCGAATACAGCGAGGTTCGCGACAATTCGTTAGCGTATCGCGAGTCCTGTAACACAGCGTGGGCCTGACCTGATTCGATCGGAGCGGAGAGCGCGAGGGGAAAGAGAATTACCCACCAGCAGCAGGCGAGCGCTGCTAAGGCGGCTAGGAGCAGCAGCCAGTAATGGCGACTAGAGGGCATTGCGGGAGCGACGCTGGGTTAGGAAGTGACGAAACGAGAGGCATATCAGACGATGTAGGAGTTACGTATTGCTTGCTAAAATCATCGAGCTTTTCGAGAGTCCTTGTTGAGGGCTGGATGACTTCGAGGACTCGCGAAAAGTTCGGTGTTGGGCCAAAATCAAGGTTTCCCCTACTGAAGCCAAATTTCTCGAGCCCTGTTTAATCGGACAGTTTCGAGGTTTGTCCCCCACTGGGAACAGAATGCGAGACGTCGTACGCGTCTTGACGCTGGGAGAATTTTACCCAATTAGTAAAAGTGTCTACCTGACACTACGCTGACAATGTACCCATGGCAGGCTTAGGTAAACGTTGATGGTAACCGAAGGCGAAACGAGCTCCCGAAACGCTCGGGCTGGGCGTTGGAACTGAGGGTAGACACGCCCTGAAATCAGCAGCTAAACAACCCCTTTCGTCTCTGGAAGCTCCGCTATAGAGAGTATGAAGCTCTGTAACAAAGTGTACATAGCTGAAGCTATGTTCTCATTAGTTGTAAGTGAAAACGATTATATACTAGGACAAGTGGACATCCTAAAATAATAATAAAAAATCAACGGGAGCTTTACACTAGCTAGGACCATTCATTCCATTCCTCGTAGAGGAAGCTGTAGCAAGTTTATCAAACCTTGAAGGTCCTTAGGCCGGATCGGCTTGGTAAGGAAGTGGTTCATCCCAGCCGAAAAGCACGCCTCCCGCTCGAAATCAAACGCACTTGCAGTCAGCGCGACAATAAACGTCGGCGCAAGTGCACTTACGCCGCTACGGCTTCGCAGTGTGCTCATATCATTGCACTCCACGATGCTGCCACCACTGCTCTCACCACTGCTCTCACAACTGCTGCTCCCGCCCAAGCTACTGCTTTGATTGTCATCCGCGCTCCTCCCTGTGAAATGCTCCTGGCTCCTTCCCGCCTCCATCTGTCGGATCCTTCTAGTGGCTTCCAGCCCGTCCATCTGAGGCATGTGGCAGTCCTGTGAGGGTGCGGGGAACAGGGGTTACATGAGTACACATCCAGTTGCGCTCCTCCTGAGTAGTGAGTGCTCCCGGCTTCTCTCTGCCTCCATCTGCCGGATTCTTCTAGTGCCTTCCAGCCCGTCCAACTCAAGGATGTGGCAGTCCTGGTAGGTGAGAGGAAATGTCAGAGAAGACGGAAAATATTAAGTGAACTTAGAGAAAGAAGAAGAAAATATCAGACATGCGTTTGTCTACTTCAGGCATGTGGCAAACCTGCGATGCATTGCAAGGGCCAGAGATGACTTTTGAGTCGACTCAAAGGTCACCTCGTTACAATGTTTGGGCCAGAGAGTGAGCAAGGAAGAAGCAGAATGTTTTAATGTTCATCTGTTTTGCCCTCTCCTGCACAAAAGCACACATCCACAGCACACATCCCCAGATGTGATTCTCACCATGAGCACGAGGTCAAAGCGCCCCTGCCTACCAGCTCCCACACCCATGACCCCGTTGTCCACCACACACGACACGATAGCCCCAACCGCCTCAACACATTCACACTCTCTCTCTCACAAACACACGAGCACATGTCCACACACACACACACACACACACACACACACACACACTCACACACACACACACACACGCGCACACACACACACACACACACACACACACACACACACACACACACACACACACACACACACACACACACACCACTCACCATGAGCACGAGGTCGAAGCGCTCCTGCCGGCAGGCGTCCACAGCCATGGCCCCGTTATCGACAACACGGCAGGCCAGCCCCAGGCGCGTGAGCATGCGCGTGACCACGAGCTGGTTCACCGCATTGTCCTCCGCCACCAGCACACTCAATGTGCGCTGCTTTGCTGCTCCTGCTGCTGCTGCTGCTGCTGGTGCTGTTGCTTGCGCCCTTAACGCACTATCCTCTGCTGCTAGCACGCGTAAACTGCACTCCTTAGCAAGCTGTAATTTGCTGCTCTCCCCTGCTTCTGCTGGTGCTGCTGGTGCAGAAGGAATGCTGTTGGGGTGCTGCCCAGAGGAGGACAGATAGGGGGACACAGCAGCAGAGCCAGCACTAGCTCTCGCGGTTGCAGAGAGACCAGTGCCTCTCCTCTCTGTCACCAGGCTGGTGCCACTGCTGCCCCCTAGGGCACACATCACCGGCAGGTCCCCTTCCGAGAAGCTAACACTGATCGCCTGCCGTGGTGCTCCTGCTGCTGCTCCTGCTGCTGCTCCTGCTGCTGCTCCTACTGCTGCTCCTACTGGCGACTTATTGGGCAAACCTACACTGCCACGAGGGCGAACGGGACCCCTGCGTGCATTCTCATCCGTCTCATCTGTGCCCGTCGCTTGCTGCTGCTCCTCTTGCCCATCCCGCCTGCACCCTTCACCTGAAACACCTCCCTCGTCCCTGCTCTTGACCCCGTTATAGAGTGCTTCGTTTGGTAGCTCAACTTGCTCCTTGCACTCATTTCCCTCCAACATCTGCTCCCCTATGGTTACTGTGGTTATCTGCACACCGAATTCTCCCTTAAGCACATCTCTTCTCTCTTCACTTCTCTCCTCAATTCTCTCTTCTATTCTCTCTTCTATTCTCTCTTCTACTCTCTCTTCTATTCTCTCTTCTATTCTCTCCTCTATTTCCTCCGTTATTCTCTCCCCAACTGAACACTTGCTTTCATTCCCACAGCATCTTCTGCCTTCAACTTGCTCAGAGTCACTCTCTTTATTGTCACACCTCTTCCTGTCATCCGTCCCCGTGCTGCTGGTGCTGCGAATGTAGCCACTTAGGCTGCTGCTGTAGCTGGAGGTTCGGCTCCAGACGTACTCGACAGGCTCGGCAGCCGAGCCAGTTCCACCGGGGCTGTTGCTGAGTGCTCCCACACACACTGTGAACGAAAAGGTTGAGCCCTGACGAGGGAAGGGAGGTGGATGAAGGGCGGCGGATGGGGGAAGAAAAGAGCATTTCCTCAGTCGCCAGCTGCAGCCCAGTCCATCTGAACCGTCTGCACGTGCTTTTGAGAATTCAAAAAGCCCAGTCGTCCATCCGTCTCAAAAAAATCCCAGTCGTCCATCCGTCTCAAAAAAAGCCCCGTCGTCCATCCGTCTTAAAAAAGCCCAGTCGTCCATCCGAACTGTCTGCACGTGCTGCTGTCCGCCTGGGTGATCGTATGGAACAGCCAGCTCTGCCTCGCTGCCGCTAGTACGCATTAAGGTGCTTCAAACAACGCCTCACCTGTTGTTCACTGCGCGTCATCTCGATCGTCCCGCCCATAAGGGCGACCAGCGCGCGGCAGATCGCCAGCCCCGGCCCCGTGCCACCAAACCACCGGCAAGTGCTGCTGTCCGCCCGGGTGAATGCTTGGAACAACCGGCTCTGGCCCTCTACAGCAAGTACGCCTTGAGGTGATTCAAACAACGCCTCACCTGTCCTTAACTGCTCGTCAGCTTGATCGTCCCGCCCATAAGGGTGACACTGGCGCGGCATATCGCCAGCCCCAGCCCCGTGCCTCCGAATCCCCTGCTCGTGCTGCTGTCCGCCTGGTGGCCTGGGTGAACGTGCATGTGCCCCGTGGTGCCTTGACGTGCTTTAAGCAGTGCCTCACCTGGCCTTCCTGGCTCGTCAGCTTGATCGTTCCTCCCATCAGTGTCACCAGCGCCCGGCATATGGCCAATCCAAGACCCGTCCCGCCAAACCGCCGGCACGTGCTGCTGTCCGCCTGGGTGAACGCCTGGAAGAGGCGGCTCTGGCCCTCTGCCGAGATCCCTATCCCCGTGTCCGCCACTGTGTACTGCAGCACCACTCTTGACGCTTCCTCCTCGCCTCCCGCCTCCTCTCTCTTCTCCCTCGTTGTTCATCCTTCCTCCCCTCCGTTCTTTCCGCTTTTGCGCCTCCGCTCTCTCCCCCCTCTCCCCCCTTCCCCCCTCCCCCCCCTCCTCCTTGGCCCCACTCTGCTCGTCCTTGGGGGGGTGGCAGCAGCAGCAGCCGGGGCAGGAGTGGACCCGAGAGAGGGAGACGGAGATGCAGCCGTGGTGGGTGAACTTGAGGGCGTTCGACACCAGGTTCAGCAGCACTTGCCGTAAGCGCACTGCATCGGCAGTGACCATGTGGGGCACGTCCGGGGCCACTCGCACGTTCAGCTGCAAGGGAGCGGGAGCATGAGTGGGAGAAGGAGAGGGAGACGGAGATGCAGCCGTGGTGGGTGAACGGTGAACTTAAGGGCGTTCGAGACTAGGTTCAGCAGCACCTGCCGGAGCCGGACGACGTCTGCTGTCACGATGTGGAGGAAGTCCGAGGCCACTCGCACGTTGAGCTGCAAGGGAGAGAGGGCGAGGGAGGGGGCGAGGGACGGGGCGAGGGAGGGGGCGAGGGAGAGACAGCGAGATGCAGTGCAGCTGTGGTGGTGGGTGAGAGGTGAACTTGAGGGCGAGAGGTGAACTTGAGGGCGTTGGAGACTAGAGGAAGAGAGCGAGATGGAGTCGAGCAGAAAGAGGTGCTGCTGCTGCCTCCTTGCACCCGGGCTTGCAGCCTCTGCTCTGCCCCTATGTGCCCCCTTGACGTACCAACAACTAGAACCCAAGTGCAACCCACCTCACCAATCCCTGTTCTTGCACAGCCATGCGGAAGAGAGAGAGAGTGAGCTCGTAAGGTGCTGCCTCGCGTCGAGACTCACAGCCTCGAGCTCCATCTTGTCGCTCTCGATCTTGCTCAGGTCGAGGAAGCAATGCACTCTGTATGTACCTCTATACACCCCCCCCCCCCTGCTTCTTCCTTTCCCGTACCTGTAGCCCCTTGTCTTGCACGGCCATCCAGAACAGAGAGAGCGAACTGGTCAGGTTCGTCGAGCCTCACAGCCCCGAGCTCCATCTTGTCGCTCTCGATCTTGCTCAGTTCGAAAACAGAATGCAGTACGTACCTTTAACCCCATCCCCTCCCCTCCTCCCCTCTCCCCCCCTCCTTTTTTCGCCCCTCTACCACATACCTGTAGCCCCTTGTCTTGAACGGCCATTCGAAACAGAGAGAGTGAACTCGAGAGGTGCTGCCTGGCGTTGAGCTGCACAGCCTCGAGCTCCATCTTGTCGCTCTCGATCTTGCTCAGGTCGAGGATGTCCGAGAGAATCTGCAGCAGCCCCTCACTGGACGACCGGATCGTTTCAGCCAGCATCCTCTGCTCTTCACTCAGCGCCGTGTCCAATAAGAGATCTGCCACGCCGATGACGCCTGAAGGACGGGAGGCGGGGAGGCAGGGGGGGATGAGGCGGCAGCAAGAGGGAAGAGGTGGTGGTAAGGCTCTCGATCGTGCTCAGATCGAGGATGTCTGAGAGCAGCCCCTCACTGGACGACCGGATGGTCTCTGAGCATCCTCTGCTCTTCACTTAGGGCCGTGTCTAGCAGTAAGTCCGCCACTCGAAGACCGGATCGTCTCTGCCAGGATCCTCTGCTCCTCACTCAGTGCTGTGTCCAAGAGCATGACCGCCACGCACATGACTCCTGAAGGATAGGAGGTGGGGAGAGAGGAGTGGGGAGAGACGGGTGGGGGTTGGTCTCTCTATCTTGCTCGGATTGAGTATGTCCGACAGGATGTGCAGCAGCCCCTCGCTGGACGACCGGATCGACTCTGCCAGCATGCGCTGCTCCACACTCAGAGCCGTGTCCGAGAGCCGGTCCGCCACACCTATCACACCTGAGGGCATAGGAGGGCGGTACAGACGGAATGGCACAAGGACGTGTTTTGTTTTTGAGAATTCTCAGAAACAAAACACATCCACGCCTATTACACCTGCCGGCATAGGAGGGCGGTATAGACGGAAAGGCACGAGGACGGCTCAGATCGAGGATGTCCGACAGGATCTGCAGCAGCCCCTCACTGGACGACCGGATCGTTTCAGCCAGCATGCGCTGCTCGTCGCTCAGAGCCGTGTCTAGTAGCAGATCTGCCACTCCACTCCAATCGCACCTGAACGAAGGGGGGTGCGGAGGGGGTGAGGGGGTGAGGGAGATTCTCCATCTCACTCGGGTTGAGGATGCCCGAGAGGATCTGCAGCAGCCAGCCCCTCACTGGACGTCCAGATCGTCTCTGCAAGATCCTCTGCTCCTCGCTCAGAGCCATGTCCAAGGGCAGGTCCGCCACGCCTATGAGACCTGTGGGCACAAGGGCGGTAAAGAGGGGAAGACACAAGACGGCTCACATCAAGGACCTGCCCGAGAGGATCTGCAGCAGCCCTTCACTCAAGGACCGGATGGTTTCAGCCAGCATCCTCTGCTCTTCACTCAGAGCCGTGGGAGCGGTGAGAGGGAGCTGGGAGGGGTGGGGCTGAGAGGCTCGCTTACCGTTCATGGGCGTGCGGATCTCGTGGCTCATGTTGGCCAGGAACTGCGTCTTTGAGAGGCTCGCCCTCTCAGCCGCCTGCCTGGCGCGCTCCGCCTCCTGCTTGGCTCTTTCCAGAGAGGCCTCCTTCCGCTTCACCTCGGTGAGGTCGTGCCACACCATCAGATACACCGCCGCGTGCGACAAGGCGGACGAGGCGGCGGAGGAGGAGGAGGAGGAGGAGGGGGGGGCAGCAGAAGAGGACTGGGTCTGGGAGGAAGGGGACTTGGGCGAGTGTGACTGCAACGACTGTGATTGCGAGGAGTGGGAGTGAGACGAGGGGGACTGTGACTGCGACTGTGCTTGGCCTGAGTCTGCGCCTCCCTGCGCGGTTGGCCCTACGAGGTCGACGAGTCGGCAGAGGGCTTCCACTGGCAGCATGCCGCCCTCGTCGTCTTGAAACACCCACTCGAACCGACGCAGGTCGCACGACCCGCTGCTGGTGCTGGTGGTGGTGCTGCTGCTGATGCTGCTGCTTTTTGTGCTACTACTTCTGCTGCTGCTACTGCTGCTGCTACTGCTACTACTGCTGCTGCTGCTGCTGCTGCTGCTGCTGCTACTGCTGCCGCTGCCGGTGTTGCTGGTATTTCCACCGGCAGCATTGCTGCCGGCGTTGGTGCCTGCATTGCTGACAGCATTGCTCTCTGCCAGCTCATCAAGTATCGCTTGCAGGGCTGTAGCGGGCTGCCCTGACCCCGGCTGTAGCAGCGGGGATAGCGACTGGATGGTGCGGCCAATCAGGTGGTCCTTGGAGCGCGATTTGATCATTCGGACAGTAGCCTGGTTGCAGTCCAGCAGACGACCGTCCTTGGTCAGGAGCATCTTGGGGTCCTGGGGTGGGGAAGTAAGCAGGGACGGGAGGGGGCGATTGAGCGTTCAGGGTAGCAAGCAGGGCTGTAGTGGGCTGCATGGCTGCCGTCCAGCAGGCGGCCGTCCTTGGTCGGGAGCATCTTGGGGTCCTGGGGTGAGGTGACTTTTGAGTCGACTCAAAAGTCACCTCGTCCTTGGTCAGGAGCATCTTGGGGTCCTGGGGTGAGGTGACTTTTGAGTCGACTCAAAAGTCACCTCGTCCTTGGTCAGGAGCATCTTGGGGTCCTGGGGTGAGGTGACTTTTGAGTCGACTCAAAAGTCACCTCGTCCTTGGTCAGGAGCATCTTGGGGTCCTGGGGTGAGGTGACTTTTGAGTCGACTCAAAAGTCACCTCGTCCTTGGTCAGGAGCATCTTGGGGTCCTGGGGTGAGGTGACTTTTGAGTCGACTCAAAAGTCACCTCGTCCTTGGTCAGGAGCATCTTGGGGTCCTGGGGTGAGGTGACTTTTGAGTCGACTCAAAAGTCACCTCGTCCTTGGTCAGGAGCATCTTGGGGTCCTGGGGTGAGGTGACTTTTGAGTCGACTCAAAAGTCACCTCGTCCTTGGTCAGGAGCATCTTGGGGTCCTGGGGTGAGGTGACTTTTGAGTCGACTCAAAAGTCACCTCGTCCTTGGTCAGGAGCATCTTGGGGTCCTGGGGTGAGGTGACTTTTGAGTCGACTCAAAAGTCACCTCGTCCTTGGTCAGGAGCATCTTGGGGTCCTGGGGTGAGGTGACTTTTGAGTCGACTCAAAAGTCACCTCGTCCTTGGTCAGGAGCATCTTGGGGTCCTGGGGTGAGGTGACTTTTGAGTCGACTCAAAAGTCACCTCGTCCTTGGTCAGGAGCATCTTGGGGTCCTGGGGAGAGGGAGTGCGGTGCAGGAGGAGACGAAAAGGGCGAAAGAGTGGGAACCAGGGGGGAAGGGGGAGCGGCTGGGTTGTGCGGGCAATCAGGTGGTCCTTGCTTCTCGACTTGATCATTCTGGTTGCCCAGCCGCTCTTTAAAGTCGTGCCGCAGCCACATCTCCGACGTCCCCCCCCCGGCTTCTGGGTAAGGAAGGGGTTACCCACGCCAACCCACTCACGCAAGCAAGCAGCCCAAACACCCAAGCATCCACGCATACACTAATAGAGGAGGTGCGCAAAAACCGACTCACCGAGGAGAGCTCAAAGAGCATGCGGAACTTGAACTGGTTGCCCGGGCGCTCCTTAAAGTCGTGCAGCAGCCACGTCTCTGATGCACCCCGGGGCTTCTGAGACGGATCCACTCGAATGCGCCGCAGCCCCAACGGCTGCTGCTCCCTCTCCTTCTCCCTCTCCTTCTCCTTCTCCCCCTCTTTCTCCCCCGCCTTCTCCCTCGTTTCCTCTTGCGCGTCCGTGTCACTGCGCTCCTCCTTGCTGCCTGCCTTCGCCCCCCCGTTCGCACCCACCGCCACTGCCACGTCCCATGTGCTCAGCTTGCCCTTGCGCAGCTCAGAGTAGCATCCCGAGGGGGCTAGAAGAGCGGGAGTGCTTTGAGCCGCCTCTAAACACGAGGAGGACTTGGATGGGGTGAGGATAGGAGGAGCGGATGGGGACGGAGGAGGGAGAGAACGAGGAGGAGGAGGAGGAGGAGGAGAAGTAGAGGTGGCAAGAATAGGAACTGAGGCGGACTCAGGGGCAAAGGCGGACGCAGAGGGAGAGGGAGAGGCAGTGGCGAAGGAAGGGACATAGGCGGAGGCAGAGGGAGAGAGAGAGATAGGGGAAGTGGCAGAGGTAGAGACAGGAGCAGACGGAGAGAGAGAAAGCGGAGCCAGCTTGGCAGCAGCAGAAGGAATGGCAGCAAGGGTGCCATCAGAAAGGGTGCTATCAGAAAAGGCGCAATCAGTAAGGGTGCTCTCATCAGCAGCAGCATTAACAGCAGCTGCAGCAGCAGCAACAGCAGCAGCAGTCGACGAAGCAGCAACAGCCGAAGCAGCCTTAGCAGCGTTCGCAATCTCAGCTATGGTCTCCCCATGCCGACCCTCCCCATCCCTTCCTACCCCACCGCCCAACGCCAAGCCCCCCCAGTTGCTTCGTCCCGAGCCTTCCCGGCGGTTCAGGATCGGGAGAACGCTCTGCTGTGCCTTTTTTCTCCTACCGCTGCTGTACAGGCTACGGAACCAGCCCTCTACCGAGCCTGCGCCTTTGCTTTGGGACGCAGGCTTGGCAGCGGGAGGTCTGGTTTGTGAGAGGGCGGAAAGGAGAGGATGGGTAGGCATAGAAGCAAAGGGTATGTGGATTGTAGAGTACACTTGCTGCTGCGGCTTGCTCGCTCCTTCGTTCCTCTCTGCACCATCTGCTGCTGAGCTGGCAGGCTGGCTTGCTGAGCTGGCTGTTATGCCTCCTGAGCTGGCAGATCGCTCTGCTGAGCTGGCAGCAACAGCAGAGGATGTGATTTCTCGAGCTGCAGGTTGGCCTTTCGCTGGCGCGGGATGCTTCCGAGCCCGAAGTTGAGGCTTGGCGGGAGGTTTGGTCGGGCTTGTCAGCAGCAGTGGAGCGTCAGCATCATTGCTACAAGTGCTGAGGCTCTTGGCTTCTTGCGTAAAGGTCTGTCGGTTGGCTTGGGCCTGCTGCCAAGCCTCGGGCTTAGCTTTGGAGCAGTGCCAGGGTGATGGCTCAGAAAATCGTGAGGGGCCCTCAGGTGGTGTCAAGACTGGAAGGGAAGATGAGAGAAGGAGGGATGAGAGACGGAAGGATGAGAGGAGGGATGAGATCATGAGAGTGCGAGGCAGGTTATGAGGTTTCAAAACGTGTCGTGTGGCAGTGTAACGAGGTGACTTTTGAGTCGACTGTAACGAGGTGACTTTTGAGTCGACTGTAACGAGGTGACTTTTGAGTCAACTGTAACGAGGTGACTTTTGAGTCGACTGTAACGAGGTGACTTTTGAGTCGACTGTAACGAGGTGACTTTTGAGTCGACTGTAACGAGGTGACTTTTGAGTCGACTGTAACGAGGTGACTTTTGAGTCGACTGTAACGAGGTGACTTTTGAGTCGACTGTAACGAGGTGACTTTTGAGTCAACTGTAACGAGGTGACTTTTGAGTCGACTGTAACGAGGTGACTTTTGAGTCGACTGTAACGAGATGACTTTTGAGTCGACTGTAACGAGGTGACTTTTGAGTCGACTGTAACGAGGTGACTTTTGAGTCGACTGTAACGAGGTTACTTTTGAGTCGACTGTAACGAGATGACTTTTGAGTCGACTGTAACGAGGTGACTTTTGATTCGACTGTAACGAGGTGACTTTTGAGTCCACTCAGGAGAGTCACCGCGATTTCATGGGAGTGCAAGGCCAGCTCTGAGAGGTCTCAACACAGGATGAGGATGAGGATGAGGATGAGGATGAGGATGAGGATGAGGGTGAGGATATGAAAACAATGGCGAAGAAATGGCGGAGGAAGTGGGGAGGGATGGGAAAAGGGTGATGATGTCACAAGGCGTGACAGTGAGGTGAGCGAGAGAAAGAGCTGAGAGACTTTTGAGTCGACTCAAAAATCACCAGGTGATTTTTGAGTGATTTTTTAGTCGACTCAAAAATCACCAAGGGGTGAGGGAAGGGAAAAGGGCGATGATCTCACAAGGCGTGACAGTGAGGTGAGCGAGAGAAAGAGCTGAGAGACGAAGGAGACTCAGGGGAAAAGAGTGCAGAGAGACGGAAGAGAGCAAGGGGAAAGTGAGCCCACCTGTTACCACCAAGTCCTTAGCTGGCCCGATGTCAAACAACTGAATGCACACATGCACCAACCCTTCTCTCTCCTCCCGCTGCCCCTGCTCCTGCGCCTGTTCCTGCCCCTGCAATTGCTGCTGCTCCAGCTGCTGCTGTTGCTGCTCCTCGTTTCCTTCTCCTTCCACGTCTCCCTCCACGTCTCCCTCCAGGTCCTCCACCTCCTCCCACTGCTGCTGCTGCTGCTGCTGCTGCTGCTGCTGCTGCTGCTGCTGCTGCTGCTGCTGCTGCCTCGAATGCCCTTTATGCCCCCCCTGCTGCTCGCTCCCCTCACACACCTCTCCCCTCTCTCCTCTCCCCGCCCCCTTCCCCTTCCCTTCCCCCCCCTTCTCCCGGCTCACCATCCACCGGTAAATCCACTGGGCGCCGGCCACAGGGGTACCTGTCTTAGAAAGTACGTTTCTAAGCGCTGACACTGCAGGCTTGAGGGCCGGCGGGAGGGTAGCTGGTGGTGCTGCCGGTGCTGCTGCTGTTGCTGCTGCTGGTGTTGGTGGTGCTGCTACTGCTGCTGCTGCTGCTGCTGCTGCTGCTGGTGAAGATGATGGTGCTGGTGCTTCTACTGCTGCTGCTTGTGGTTCTGGTGCTGCTGGTGTTGATGCTGATTCTGCCGATGGTGCTGCTGTGCCGTGCCCATCGCTGTAACGCAGCAGCGGCAGAGATAGGGTTACCACATCCACGCTGCGGCTCTCCAGCTGCCCAACGAGGTGCCGCCACGTGTCCAGAGGCAGAGCATCGCCCGCCATTTCAGGAAAGGAGCTCTGGGGAAGAGGAAGAGGACGAAGGGGGGGAGTGGCGGAGCGACGAAGCAAGGAGGGTGCAAGAGCAAGTGGGCGGGGGGAGTGAGTGTAAGTGATGAGACAAAAGCGGGGGACAGGAAGGCAGCTGGGTGGTCAGAGTAGGGGGAGATATGGAAGGGGAGGGAGGAGGAGGAGGGGAGGAGGAGGAAGGAGGGGGAGGGGGGGGAGGGGGGATGGAGGAAAAGGGTAGAGGGGTGGGGGAAGAAACTCAGACATCGTGCGCTCACTCAACCACTCACTCACCCCCTCCAGTCGCGCTTTAACTGCGCGCAAGCGAGCAAAGCACTAACTGTGAAGAGCGCTGGCGCTTTGAGGCGCCTAAGGGCGTGTAGCCTACGGTTTCGTCGGCCTAGTTCCGGAACTCAGTTCCGAACTCGATATACACGAGTTCCGTTCGTCGCTGGAACATCGACTTTCGAATCTCAACTATGATTGCTGTCCGTCAGTGGAACATCGAGTTTCGAAACTGAATGTTCCATCATTCAAACTTTTGAACGACGTGCGAAAAGTAATATGCGAAGAAACGAAACCCAACCCCTCGTAAGCCAATCACACGCTGGGCATGACGACAGCACACATTTTGTTTTGTCACTTTCGCGATTGGCGGGTCAGGCGCGCGAGCAAATTCGATCGTTGACTTGGTGTCATTTCCCCCTGAAGGCCTAGCATGTTCTTTTCGCACAGAACTGGAGGGAGATTCTCGAACGGCCGTCCGGACGACCGTTCAAAACTGGCGTCTGGACGTCGCTGGGACATCGAGTTTCGAAACTGAAGAATCCTTCGCAACAGGCTTGGCGAAATTTCGTGCGAGTTGTGGCGAAATCTGTCACCACACCAAAACTGTGACGGAACTCAGTTCCGGAACCGTAGGTTACACGCCCTAAAAGATACGCCTTGCTTGCACGCGACACTCAACTCACCCCCTCCAGCGGACCCTTCCGAGCGCGAAGCACCTTCTCCGCGCCTCGACTGGCGCACATCACGGCTCCATCGGCGGGCCGCACGACGAGCTGCGCGCACTGCGACTGCCGCACCACTTGCGCCATCACCCCCGCCGGAAAACGCGGCGCCAAACGCGTCGTACGCGGCGGTGAATGCGACGGGGAAGGCGCCGAAAGGGCCGCATCGAAATCCGGCCGCGGCCGGCCGCCGCGGCTTACCCGAAAAACCACCGCTGCGGAAGCAGCGGCGGGGAGGCAGTCGGAGCCAGCGAAGGGCCGCGCGAGGTTGTTGCTGTGGCGGCGGCGGCGGCGGCGGATGATTCTCTCGGCTGCGGAAGAACGCCTTCCGCCGCGCGCGTAACGGCGGCGGCCCCTTGACGGGGCGGAGGAACGGCTTGGAGAGAGAGCAGGCTCTCGCACGACGCGGGTTGGGCGCTTCTAACGGGCGGAGCGGATTGCAAGGAGAGCAGGCTCTCGCACGACGCGGCGCGGGAGAATCTGACGAAGAGGGGCTCCGAGTCGCTCCCCGCGGGACGCGTGCCAACGGCGGGAGGTGCGCGAGCGGCGGAGAAGGGCGGCTTCGCACCGGCGCCAGCGGCGACAGGGGAAGGCAGAAACCCGCCTAGACCGGCGGAAGCGGAGCCAACGCTGGATTCCCGCGACATCGGGTCGAAAGCGCCGGGCGCAGAAGCGGCCGCGGCGGCCGCCGTAGCCGCAGTGATTGACGGCGCGGAACGCGGCGGGCATGTGATGGACTTGGGGAAGGGAGGAGGCGCCATTCGCGGAGATTCGTCCCCGCTACTAACACTTGTACTCCGAGGAGTCCTCGAAAAGGTATGGATATCCGATATGGAGTCCATAGCCGACGATGCCAAGGTCGACGGAGACGCCGTTACTACTAACTGCGGCCGGCGCGGAGGGTAAGGTAACGGCGAGGTGGGTGGGAGACGGCTCCCGGCGGAAGATTTGCTCCCGCGGGCGCGGCAGTGAAGCGAGGAGGCCGTCGTGACGACACAAGCCACTCCCCCGTCCGGCTGATGCGGCGCAATTCCCGCTGCTGGACACGTGTCGTGCTGCGATTCGCCTCTGCGCTGGTAGGTGACGGAGAAGAGGATCTCCTGCTGGCAGGCTTCCAGCTTTTCCGGGTCGATAGCTGCTAGCTCGGAGACTGGCGCGGAGACTGGTGCGGAGACTGGTGCGGAGACTGGCGCGGAGACTGGCGCGGCCGGCGCAAAGATTGGCGAAGAGATTTCAACAGTCTCAGGGTCCGTGAATTCAGGGACGAAGCTGTCGGTGCCCTTCAACGTCGCCTCGTCATTGAATCGAGGTGTCTCTTCAAATGTCGAATCAAGTTGAGCCAACTCAAAAGTCACCTCAGAAATGGGCGGCGCCGTCTTCTCACTCCCCACCACGAAACCGCCCCTACTAGTTCTGCCTCGCGTGGCAAGCGGCGCGCCATGCGGAGACGGGAAACTGAAGGCCGCGGCGCAATCCGCCATCATCGCAGCACTACTAGTCGTGAGCCGCCGATTAAGAAATCCTACAACCAATCTTACAAATAATATTTGAAAAAAAAAGTTAAAAAAAATCACAATTTCATACGGCTGCTGGGATGCACGACTACTTCGATGTATAAAATTTGGCGATCCTAAAAAAATTGCCGGCTTTTTAACATGCTACAGCGACTAAGTTGGAGAAGTGGGAATTGACAGATCATCAGTTATCTGGCGACTCCAGAAGTCGCTGCTCTGGATGTAAAGGGAGTCGTTTAGCGACGTGTGCCCGAGAGACTGGTGGAGGCGAACTGCAATCCCTTTTTTCCAGTACAAGTGGTGATGAGGAAGGACGCGGGCTCAACGACGATGAAGCAGGAGCATAGGACTTCCCTATTACAATTCCCAGGGGCTTGCCGATTACGTGCATGTACTGTAAATTTCCCCAAGGACCAGCCCACACAACTCGAGGATTCCGCGCGAAGTTCGTTCTGATGTGACCCTGAGGACACAGAATGCGAGGACTGATCGCGATTCGAAGCGATTTGACGTTCTAGAACGTTTTAGTGCGGTGCAAAACTTCGAGAACTGTACAAGACAGAAAGCAAACTGTACGAGGATACGGTCATGTGGCATTACCCAACCACCCACCCCCCCCCCTCCCTCGCTAAAACGAGTTGTGGAATCCACAATTGGCAGGCAGCCTGCAGCGAGGAGTGTTGTCAGCCACATAGAGCGTACACTTGTAAAATCACCCGCGGCTCGGTGTGGGTTTGTGTGGTGTTGGTGCTCTGCGAGCGTGTCAGCCTGCGTCCTGATTCGGTTCTCACTGGCATGAGCCAACGTCAGCAAGGCTGCCGCTCTTGAGGGTTTGGTCTATCTGTGGGCGATCACGGCCAGATTCACGATGATCAGATATCGCACGAGGATGGAGGATTTACATGCCCACAAGGGTTGCCGGAAAAAGTAGACAGCGCGTCTAGACTCTAGTGTGCCCAAGGACATCCCAGATGCGAAAGCGATATGAAACATAAGGTGTGTCGATGGATGTCGATGACATCCGTCGACTCCCAATTCAAACAGCTCTAAGGTCGGTCCTATACATAATTTGAGAGCGTGCTCAGATGAGGATTTCGACGGATGTCAATGACGTCCACCGACTTCCGTCGTAGTTTCAGTGTTCTCCTATTTACAGACAGCTTACGCTCGGTGCTTAGACATCCGTTCTTGTCTAATGTCGCTGGGTACTTTAGACACGCTGTAACTATCGCAGGGTTGGCACTGTTGCTGCAACAGAGCTGACATGCAGCGTCCTTGGGAACGGAGAATACATCGGGGAGGAACACACAGACACCGTACGTGTACCAGCGGAGAGGTATGGAATGGGGAGGGTGTGGAAAAAAGTGGGGAGTTGTGGGGGAGGGAATTTGTCGCCCGAGGGGAGACCGACGACAACGTAGGAACAATGGGGGAGTTGCAGCGGGGGGGGGGGGGGGGGGGTGTGGGGGGGGCAGATTGTTTTCCTACCCTGACCATTTCTGAGTGCGTAGACAGTACTCCCTTGATCCTACAGCCAAAGCGCGGCACACTCCACGCGGGCAAAAACTTTTAGCACTGCCTAAGCTGACGTCGGGTTTCCTGACTCGAGAAACACAAAATGGTGCAGCAAACGTTTCGTATAGAAACCCAAGCGAAATTTGTTTTTCAAGAGTTTCCGGATCTGGTCTTCAGGTGCTGCTTCGGGGGGGTGAATAATATTCTGAATGCGTCAAAAGCAGGGCTAGGTTAAAATTCCGCCCTGTTTTCTTTCACAATGCAGTGTAATAACCCTGACTTCCAGAGGCCTGGTACGGAGAGGTCAGGACACCACGAAAACACATCCGGTCCCACAGAAGCGAATCGGATGCAAATTTGCACTGAAAACCCCGATAACACATGTCTTGAATCAGATGCAAGCATCAAGGATGGCGGTGGCGGTTTGCTGCATTGGAGGATTTTGGACACTAGCGGCGAGTTTCACTGCCGTTATGAGTGTTGCACGCAAGAGGGAGCATTATGAATAGACACCCGCTGTAAGGCTATTCACAACTATTTAGGCAGATTGTCCACTACACTATCCCTGAAAATGCAATTTCAGGGCTATTAAATATGATGGATGAGGGTAGTAAAAAAATTAGCTAAATCATAACTATCAAGATTTTCCCACAGCACTCAGACGGATTGTGTATGTAAATTTAATTATTATCTTTTTGGCTTCTGACTCTTTGGATTTACGTATTGAGGTGGGGACCACTGAATATAACATGTGAAATTGGTTTTAGCCATTTACGTTGAAGTCTTTCAACAAACGTTTGAAGTCAAAAAATGTGCATGTCCCAAAGATGAATATGTATGAATTGCATTCTGCAATGAGCTCTCTTTGGCTTTCGGTTTCAACTGACGTGGCACTGGGATAACCGTGTCGATCCTCTATCTCTCTAGGAAGGGTACTGGGTGTTGTGGTATCATCGTACTTAAGCATTTATGTAAGTAATCTCGATAGATATTGTTGAGTTACAGTGTATATAGCATCCGTAGAATGACGTCAGCAAATAGCGCTCGTCTGGATGGTTACGTCAGCAAGCCGTTTCAATCACGCGAACAGTCGCGTTCTTTTCAATAGCAGTTAGAGCGCATAGCGCAAATAGCTCGAACATATATATCACCGAATAGATACTTCTAGCATATATAAAAGTAGCCTGTACAACTTCAAATATTAACTTGTTCTTCAGTAAATTCTGGTCAACACCTTACAAGTTCTAAGACTTCCGCTGTCTTACTAGTCTACCATTCTAGAAAAGTTCCTTGGTTAAGTCTTGAAGTATCGCAAGGCTGTAACACTGATTCTGGTGTTACAACTTGTTAATACTAGCTATTACTGGACGTACTTCCAGTATTAATTTCTACTTCAAGTACTTGTGTCTGCAGATTCTATACTTAGTCTCCTGCACCACCTTTTAAATTCTTTCATGGTATGAGAGCTGTCTGGAATCAAGACTTTTGTCATTTCGACTATCGACAATCATGACTGGACCATCGACGGTACCATCATCTGGCTCTTTGACAACTGGACCTACGGGTGTTACAAATCCTACAGTCAACACTGGTCAAGCAGGAAATCCTACAGCTGGAAACTTTCCACCTGCTTATTCTTCAATTGGGATGCCGCAACAGCAGCAAGGTTTGCCTTCTGTGCATCCTCCGGGGACTTCGTCCTCTGCACCTGCAACACAACAACAACAAGCAACAACAAGCGCAACATCAATTTCAGCAACAACAGCAGCAACAGCAACAACAACCGCAACTTCAGTTTCTGCAGCAGCAGCAAACTACTCACACTGGTCCTGTCTTTCAAGCACCGAATCTTTTAAGCAACACACAGATCAACACAACCGTACATTTTAATGGCGTTGACTTCTACGCCTGGAGTTTTGAGTTTGAACTTCTCACAAAATCCGCTGGATTGTGGCCATTCTTCAGTGGCGATTACTCGTATCCTGTTACGGGAACACATATGGAACAACAAAGTTTTCTTCATGCATCACTCAGCGCTTACACCGTTCTTATCCGCAATCTGTCGCTGAAGGAGGAGCTCGGTATACGCTCGCTTCACACCAATTTGACTCCAGCAGAATCTGCGTGGACACATTTGAAGGGGTTGTATATGGCACATGACACAATTTCAGTGAGTAAAATTCTCACAACTGACAACTGTACAGATGCAGGGCAACGAGAATGTTTCGGATTACATTAACAGGGCTCAAACACTTCGTGACCAATTGGAAAAGTGCGGCGGATACTTCCCGAAGGACATGTTTATAACAGTCCTTCTTGCCGGTCTTGGAGCAGAATGGCGGCAGTGTCGATCCCTTCTTCGTCTTCAACCAAATCTTTCGGAAGCAGAGATCTGCTCCATCCTTCAAGCCGAGCAACAAGATCTTGACCTGCAATCAGCACGTAATAGAAAAGAAGCAGTCAATATCCGTTTTTATATAACGCCTACGAAACGCGTCGTCAAATATTTCTGCCACTACTGCAAAAAGGATGGGCACAGTATAAAATTTTGCATCAAGCTTCAATCTGATAGGAAACGGAGGGGGCAGCAGCACTCGCAGCAGTTCAAGCAACCCGTGAAGCAGAATCCACCGACAACAACACCTGCCACATCAGGGAAACAAGTATTCTACTGCGTTACAACAACTCAAGCAACAGAATCTGATTTCGACAATGACGAGGAAGAAAACTTCAACGAGCAACCTGAAAATATGGTTTTACCCCAAGTATATGCTAACCTTGCTCGGATAATTGCAGGACCGAACACTTGGTATCTTGACAGTTGCTGTGGACAACACATGTGTTCTGCCGAGACGCTCTTCATTACTCATCAACGTCCGCTTCGTCGTCCAGTACTTGTCACAGTCGCAAATGGACAAACGATAATGGCAAAGTCAATTGGGAGCGTCATGCTGGATTCAGTCGATACAGGATTTTCATTACACGTTACCAATGTTCTGATCATTGAGGGACTTGGCTTTAATCTTCTATCAATGGTTCAACTCCTGCGACATAACATACGGACACAAGGAAACTGTGAGACAATGGATCAAGCACTTTATCATAATGATTCAAATACTTACATCGGGAGAGCCGCCACTCAGTATGGGGTCTCCGTTCTTCAATTCGAGTCGCAAGGGACTACTGGATCTTCTGAAAGAGTGTTACAGCGACGAAACAATCTGTCCACAAAATGGCTATGTTTAGCAAGTTCATGATGTTTTGACAAGTATCAATGAATGATTTACAATCTGGAGCCTGTGGACATTATGCAAAAACAATTGATGCACCTCCACATATAACAAACTCTAGCCAATATCGAATCGCTAATAGCGAGTACAAGCTTTAACGCTCGACGGCCGATGCGGACAAATTCTACCAGAGTAAAGACTAGATATGTTTCCGTCAAGCATTCTTTGCATGAGCTAGCAAAGTCGCTCATACTTTCGCTAGCGCATGCCCCTTACCCCGTGATCTTCCAGTAATCGCGCGCCCGCTTGCTTCGCGTCAGAGATACCAGATCATGAGCCTCTGGCGCCAGTGTCTGAGTTTTCGACCGATCGCACAAACGCTAAGAATAGGGCAGAGAATCGACCAAAAAAACACTCTGAAGGCTAGTCACAGCAGTATTCGTCTAGTAGCTAGGCCAAATGTCCACTCTTTAGGTCGATCGCGACTGCTCTCAGCGTGATACATGTGCACTTTTGTGCACACCATCATGTTAGGTACTGCGTTGACGAGCATTGAGGCTG